TTTAAGTGTTTTCATACACTTTAAGGGAGGTTGTTCTCTTGTTGTAAACTCGAAAGAAGTTCCTTGTTCTTTCGTGAGAAGTCTTGGAGTGCGGTATCTCCGAGCAAAGGTGTTGAGGCTCGTGTGACTCGGGTTCTCAAGTTGTATCGGTTTTTTAAGCACCCTTAAGCTTAACGGAGTTAGTGTAGCTCGAGAGAGTCTCTCGGGGGGCTGGATTAGCCACACATTGTGGTGAACCAGGATAAAATTCGGTGTGCTCCTTCATTACGCTCTTTACTTTTACGCTCTCGTTTTAATTTCCTGCGATATTGTTTTAAACGCTAATCACCCCCCCCCCCCTTTCTAGCGTTGGGCCTTTATTCTAACACCTCTTCTAACACCAATTGGTTTTAGAAAAGTTGGTAGCGCCTGAGGTCCTACAAGTGGTACTAAAGCCAAGTTCACGAGTTCAATTCCGAGCGGGAGCAATTGTTGAGGGGGAGATTGTTGGTCAATTGTGCAGCAATTGTCCCATGGCGGAGGCTATGTGGGCTAAGTCACAATTGAATGTTGTGGGGGCTTGTGTGATGAATGCACTATAAGGCTAGGGTATGCGCCTCTTCTAACACCAATTGGTTTTAGAAGAGTTGGTAGTGCCTGAGGTCCTACAGTGGTGACAGTATAGGCTTTAGGTTTAAAAATACCAAATTTGGTCTGGGTTTGCATAGGATGAGCATTGGTTGCGGTTGTGGTGGATGGGATATGGGAAGGTCGACCGTTGGGTGGGAAACAGGCAAGTTGATCGGCCATCTGTTGGGTAGCAGAAGGGTTGGTGGAGGATGGTGGACCGTTCGGAGGAGAGCGGTCAAACGGGTGAATTTTCTATAGATAATCAGAAAGGGTTGGTTGGAACGGTTAATTGTGGGTAGTGGAACGGTCTTGTTGGTCAACTGTCTGTAGAGTATTAGAGAGGTGTGTGTTTGGCGGTCGACCGTGCCCGTGGCTACTGGCATGATGGTCAACTGTTGGAATGACAGAAGTAGATGGGACAACATCCAAACCGAGCGGTACCTGAGCCTGTGAGCCTGATCAAGAGGGAAAAATCGGAATGATACCTAATGGATTAGAAGACGAGAAAGTGGACAAGAGGTGAGTGTAAGGGAACTAATCTCCGACAAAACAAACATGACGGGAAATATATGTTTTCAGAGACATGGGATCATAACATTTGTAACCCTTCATAGTGGGATGTTAACCAATAAAGACACATGGAGTAGAGCGTGGTTGGAGTTTATGATGAGTGTGGGGACGTAGCCAGGGATACACAAGACAACCAAAGGGACGCAGATGAACATAGTTAGGAGGCCGACCGTAAAGCGCTTCGTACGGAGATTTGTTGTCTAGATTTTTGGTGGGTAAACGGTTGATGAGATAGTAAGCTGTGGCAAGAGCGTCAACCCCAAAGGAAGCACGAAGATGGGAGTCATAGAGTAAAGCAATGACAGTCTCAATAAGATGTCAATGCTTGCGTTCGGCTACGCCATTCTGCTCAGGAGTGTATGGACACGACGTATGATGAAGAATCCCTATGTTTTGAAGGAAAGACCAAACACAATATTCACAAATTCTTTTCCATTATCACTTCAAAAAATTTGAATGTTTAAATTAAATTGAGTTTTTATCATTTTTTCAAAGCTGATGAAAACTAAGTATGCTTTAGACTTGTGTTTAAGTGGACAAATTCAAGTAAATTTGCTAAAATCATCAATAAAGGAGATATAAAAATGAAAACCATAAACAGAAGGAATAGAAGTTAGTCCCCAAACATCAGAATGAATGAATTGAAAGGGCACTTTTGCCTTATGTTCAGACAACTCAAACGGTAAACAAAAAGATTTAGACACATGACAAGACTCACAATGTAGTTAATTATAAAATTTAAAACCTAAGGTTGACAAAATAGACTTGGCAACAGCACGCGCCGGGTGACCAAGGCTACGATGCCAGGTAGGCGTTGTAACTGCTTGACACACAACTGGAATGGGCTTTGAATGGAGAGTGTATAGAACATGCTCACAGGGGCCTGTGTATCGCACTTAATTCGTAACATTGTCCACTATCTGAAAATTTTTGGTATTAAACACAAGGGAAAAATTATTATCAAAACGGTGAACTGAGAGTATGTTAGAGGTAAGGGAAGGAACGTGGTTAAGAGATTGGAGGTTATATTTACCATGTGGTGTGTGAATAGAACCTGAGCCAGTGTGGGTAATGGGTAAAGTATGACCATTACCTATAATAATAGTTTCAGTGCCATGATAGGGAGTTGGAGATTGCAGCTATGAGAGATCATTCGTAACATGAGTATTAACACATGTATCAATGTACCAATCACCAAATTGGGTATTTGTGGTGGCATGAATAACATGGGATCTGTTAGCTGAGTTGTTCACGGTAAAAGAGTCATCATATCGGTACCAGGAGGTAGCAGTAGAATGACCAAGCTTTGCACAAATTTGGCATATTGGCAGATCCCGCGGAGGATTGCGGCCTCCTTCTCTTCTGCCCCGCCTCTAGAGAACAGTCGACCATGGGGTCCCCCTCGACCATGCCCTCGACCACTGGCAGTAAATAAGGTGGTGTGAGGGCTCCCAGGGGCAGAATCCTTGAGATTTAATTTCTTCTCAATTTCAAGATTGATTTCTTCAGAGGTGAGCCGTCCAAAAAGTTTGTTTAAATTGATATTCTCATTGTTCATCTGAATATTCTGCTTGAAAGAGGCGTATTCGGTAGGGAGACCTTGGATAACAGCATTGACTACATCTCTCTCAGGAATTACTTCATTCAGAGCATCCAGATCTGTGAGAATGGTAGCAACTTCATCGAGGTATTGAGTCAGAGTTTTGGTACCTTTGTGAAGTGTGTGAAGTTTGTCTCGCAGTTGATAAATATGGGCTGTAGATACCGAATTATAACGGCAAGAAAGGGCATTCCATAGATCTACCGAGGTAGTAAAACTCCGAACATGTTTGTGAATAGTGGGGCTTATAATAGCTAGAAGGCATGCACGTATTTGGGTGTTAATAACAAACCATGTACTGTACTCCGGATTAGGGTTTACCTTTCCATCCTTATATATTATCTTTGGAGGTGCAGCTTCATGACTGTCAATCCATCCAAAGAGAAGGCTAGCTTCTAAAGCAGTCTGGACATTGAGAGATCATGACAGGTAGTTGGAATCTCTGAGTTTTTCAAGAACGAGATTATGGAGATTACAGAGAAAAAGCTTGACTTTGGAAGGTAGGGAAGCAAGAGGATCAGATGTGGATGCCATGACTGTCGGACAGTCCTCCGTTACAAAAGACGGTCGACCGTTGGCCGAGAGAAAAAAGACCAATGCTTGGGACAATCGAAGAAGGAGAAGAATATGGTTTGGAGCCTTAGCTTCAATTCAATACCACGATACAATTTGATAAAATATTGATATCATTGAATAATAGAGCCTTGAGGAGTATTTACACTACAACAAAGAAAATCCTAAATAAGGTAGGAATGTAATTATGGTAATACAAGACTAAGAAAACAAATACTATTTAGAATCCTTCCTATTATGTGCAAAAGAGAAAGTACACAAAAAGACTGGGACGGATGAAGTAGTTTTATTAACTCTATTACTAAGTAGGATTACGACATTGTACTTTGGAAATGTTTGTTTATACATACGGAATTTGCGACGGAAAAATTCCGTCGCAAATATTATACAAAAGTATTTTTCTACCATTATAGACCATCGTAAATTCCATCGCAAACATGAGACACCTTGCGTCGGAATAACTTTGTCGTAAATTCTGTCGCTGCATATGATACAGAAGGCATAACACAAACTTCTATTTTTTGGGATAAAACTTGAAACTCTTATTTTTGTGTTTGCTCTATATTTTACTCTATTTTTGTTTGATTTATTAATATTCAACCGAGCAGATTTGCAACAAAAAGAGTTCAATTATTGAATTTATTGCTAGCCACATCAGGTGGTTGTTTTTACATGGATTGGGGGTGACCATCAATTAATTATATTATTATTATGATTATAGGGAGTGGTTAAATAAATAAATAAATGAAAAATTAAAATTTGATTAGCCATTGGTGAGTGAGCGATTATGCGTAGATGTCGCAAAATTCAATAGTGCATTCATTCATGGCTTCATGCATGCATGCCTCAATCTACAAAATAAATAAATAAATAAAAATATAGTCTGATATAATCTCCCCATCATCATTTCTTGAATAATAATAAAAATCCTTTGTTTCTTCCTTTCCCTAATAACAATAATTTGATTTCTCCTCATGAGCTCTTGTGTGCTGTTCACCTCTTTCATCGAGTAATTTTTAAGGTGAGCGCTGATCCCTCTCTTATATTATGTAATCTTTATTTTATTTTCCTTTCTATAATATGCAAATCATAAAATATTTTTTTCGTCTAGAAATTTTCTTCCAATTTCGCTATTGACTTTTAAGAAATTTAAAAAGCTAAGAATGTATTTTAATGTTGACTTTCTAAAGATTAATAATGAATGGATATGATGTGATGGATATGGTACGAATTAGTATGGGTAAATGTGACTTTTTAATTAAAAAAAAAGTGGAAAAACTTTCTAAAAGGGTAAAAGGTGAAAGAGGAAAGATGGTTTTTAGGGAGGGGGGGGGGGGTACTTTATTTTATAAAAATTGATATTTCATAATGAATCTACTAATGCTATGATTATATCAAAAATCAATGTATTTTTTCGTTATACTATTATTGAAATTTATGTAATGATAAGAAAATTTCCGGACGATTGAAACGTATATTATTTCTGCTTTATTTTAAATTTGTTAAATAATAATGCTTGCCTGAAATGTCAACCATAGCTTATTTCATGTTTAGTTCATTGGAAATGTTTTTCAATGGGTTTATTTCACCGCTAGACATCTTGTTACAATTATGTATACAAATGTCGTTTTTAGTCGCTTACTTCAAGTCTAAACCAAATTAAGATTTGATAGCTACGTTCCAAAACGCTCCATCTAAATTAATTGAAGCGTAGGTGTAGCATATATGTTGTCTTCAACAAAATTGTAACATATGAACCACTTATATATTGTTCACAAATAATGGGCCTGTTTGGAAATAATGTTAGAGATTAGCGTTAGCATTTTAAAATGATTATCTACGGGCAGTGTTTAGCGTTAACATTTTTAAAATAATCTGTACTGTTAAAAATTTATCCAAAACGCTAACAATAATCTTACTAATGTTGTTCCCAAACAGACTCATTATCAACATGAAATAGCTTGTTACTTCCGCCATAGATCTTCCCAAATGCCTTTTTTATTAATTCAAGAAAGGTCTTCTCATTACCTTATTTAACACATTTAAAATAACACAATTATTCTCACTTACTTTATTTATTGCAAATATAACTCGCCCACCTTATTTAATACGGAGTATACTCTACTCTCTTTCATTAAAGTATGTACTCTGTATTTCAGCAAACTTCCAATTCTTTTCAACTCCTTAAAAACTACAAAAAGTCAATTTGAGAAAATCTATGGTAAATATTCGCCATCACTGGACATTATCAAGTTCTATTTAGAAAATAAAACAATTTAAATACTATTTAGGAAAATAACTTAAATTTTAATGCTATTTAGTTCAAATATTTCATGATCTATAGCAGACAAAGAGATTATTATTTTCAATTTTTCATACTATGAATCCTCTAGTGACAACTCCACTTGGTAGGATTCTACTGGTCGCTAGTTGTCGTCATTCATATTATGAATCATTTCTCATAGACGTGGCTTAATTGATTCATATTTTCAAGCAGTGTCTGCTCTTTATGCTGATGGTGGTGGCTTATTATTAAATTGCATAATGTATATGTAATATATGTATATGTGCATATATCTACACACAGGCACATAAAGAGCAGCAAAAGAACAAACACCATCAGCATGGCAACAAGGGTGAAAGAGAGTGCTGCTGGAGGAAAGGGAAAGGAGAAGAAAGGAATAACTATGTCCCCATCACCATCATCACCACATGCAACTCATCATCATGACAGAAGAAACAGCACCGGCCACAACACATCATCATCATCATCATCATCATCAAACACGCCGAACAAGCCCACATACTCCTCCGTCGTCGCCAGAAAAAAGCCGCCATCACAGCAGCTTCTTCTTGAAAGCAGCCATGGAGAAACCACCAGGCCTTACCTTGCTAGAAGAAAGTCTTTTGACAACAAGTCATCAGCACACTCAGTTTCCTCATCTGCCCCTCGCCCAACGTCTCGTCAAGGGAACAATGCCAATAATAACAATAATAAACCCACTTTGCCAAGGCCAAAACCTGGCTTTGACAAACCAGCCTCTAATAACGCCAAGGGCAAAATCGTAATGAGATCAAGCCCGGCAGTCGCAAAGTCTTCTTCCACAAGACCAACTTATAATCATAAGTCACCAAACAACAGAAAGAGCCTTGGCACATTGTCTTCTTCATCAAGGGCACCAATTAACAAGAAAAGGCAGGAGAGAATTGTTGCCACAAGCAGCCAAGAAGCTGATGTATCTAAAGCTAACAATTACCCATCAAATCACACTAGTGATGAGGAAGTCATGAGGAGGAACAACAAAACAGAGCAAGAGAATGAGAACATAATTGTGTTGGGAGATGAGGAGGATTTGGATGATTTGGAGTCATTTGATGATGAAAATTGTTCATTGGGAGTCCCACCAGAAGATCCCATAGATCATTTCGACACCACCTTTGAAGAAGACACTGGAGATTCTGAAGGGATCATCACGGAGCATGAACATTCTCAAGATGAGGAGGAGAACAAGAGCACGACTACAACAGAAACGCTTTCTATCGTCGCAGATTCGAAGTTTGTGGAAGAAAACAGTGACAATGATGATGATGATGAGAAGATAGTCCTGGTTTGTGACAGTAATGAGAGTGGTCATGTATGTGATGGCCATGAAGAAAAAGAAGAAATGAAGAGGGAAACAACAGAAAGGGAAGGAGATGACCGTTGTGATAATGACGACGACAATTATGATGATCAACAATCCTCTGCTGCTGCTGAATCCTCTGCTGAAGAAGTTAAAGAAACCTGCATTGAGAGTAATAATAATAATTCCGACAGTTCCAATGAAGTTAAGGAAACTACTACTACTACTGCTACTACAGATGTGACAGTGGTGCAGGGAACGAGGACAGAGAGCGTGGTGTCTAACAGTGTTATTGAGGAGATGGCGAGCAAGCTTCGTGAACAAAGGAAGAACAGGGTGAGAGCATTGGCTGGGGCCTTTGAAACTGTTATCTCTTTGCAAGAACCCAAGTGATGAGGATGATGATGATGATAATTATGACATCTGTTAACAAGAAAACCCCCAAAAGAGGCTTTGATATTTTGTAATTCATACATATTTGGTTGATATGGAACAATCTTCGTTCAGCATGCATGATGGGATCATTTGAGTCCAACAATTTTTCTCATTATATAAGCATATAAATCCTTGCTTTATGTATCTATTGTGATCCTTTTTTATGTGCAGCTTGAGCAGGGGTCTCATGGAACAGCCTCTCTACTTTCGAGTAGGGTCAAGGTCTGTGTACACACACCCTCACCAGACCCTACTTTCGTGGGATCCAATTGGGTTGTTGTTGTTGTTGTTGTTGTTGTGTGTGTGTGTGTGTGTGTGTATCAATGCTGTAATCATAAAACTTCAGCTTTCATTTTCTTATTGACTCGGCAATTCTTCATTAAAGAAATGCAGTAATAAAATATCATGGGTGATTATAGGCATTTAAATTCGTATATATATACAACAACCCAGTTTGGATCGCACGTAAATTCACATCAAAGTTTGACACCATGTGTTTAACAGACATGTATAGATAATCCAGAGCAAAGTTTGACACCATGTGTTTAACAAAAACAACAACCTAGGTGAATCGCACAATAGTAGGGTCTGAGGAGGGTGTGTGTACGCAGACCTTGCCCCTACTCGGAAGTAGGGAGGCTGTTTCCAAGAGACCCCCGGCTCCACCTGCACAAAAATATGGAACATGTGTTTAACAGACATGTACAAACAATCTAGAGCATGACTATCTGTACATGTACGTGTTTGTGAAACACATTGTATCAAATTTTGGTGTCAAACTTGAAGTGACTAGCATAGTCCATATAATCACCTAAATAAAAAAGGGCACTATAGATTACATTACACCTTACTTTCAATAAAGTTTTGCACAATAACTTAAACTGTGTTTTTTTACACAAGTTGTATACATCTTGAAAATATTTTACAAGATAAATCTAATTAGACTATTTTTTGTAGTAATCTGTAATGTAATTTTTTTTAATTAATGATCAAAATTCATCTAATTTAACTACAAAAAATTAAATTGAACAAACAAAATGGAATGAAGGTAACATTTTTAATTACACAAAAAAAATCTTGTCTACGCAATCCTTCACGGCTTCACATATTTTGAGCCGACAACACTTGTGTACTTTGTATATCCAATAACAATAATAAAGAATGTTGTTGAATCCAATAATAAGATTGGTAAGTAGTTTCAACAACCTAACTAAAAAATGGGAAATTTAAAAAATTAAAGTTTGAGCAATTAAATGGTCATCTATTACTATTTAATAACAAAAGTAGTAATAATAATAGCAATAACAATAACAAACTAGGTTTTATTCATGTCAACATATTATACTCTAGTTTAGTCTTCAATAATAATGGGAGTGGAGAAAGACTAATAAATAAAATAGGGTTGTTGCTCTGTGGAGGAAATGGCTACAGAAGCATGGTTAGAACTATTTGGGTGAGAGCTTGGAGAACTACTAACCGTCTGCTTTACTAGCTCATCTCATTGCCGTTATTAGGCACTTCAACAAAAGCCTCACTTAGAAATTCACACTTAACCTGCACAGCTTGAGCATCATCATCATTATTTGGTCTTTCCAGGGTTTTAATCATGTTGGTTTGCATCAGCTGATGTTCTCCAGCTCCACGCGAACTGCAAGTTAGAAATAATAGAGAGGAAGATAGAAATTGTGCAAATTATGAAAGGAAAGTTCCTGGTAACGTGAGAGGAAAACTCTTTACCTAGTTTCCAAGGGTGGCACGTCATTTTCCATTATATTATTTGATGATTCAGGATCTACACACCATGTAGAGAGAGAGAGAGAGCTTTAAATGTGAGTAAATCAGTAAATTTTAAGCATTTGAGAGAAGGGAGATGCAATATACTGAGCAATGGCAACATTTATCAGTACTAAAGTTCAAAGAAGTTATTACTAATATTAGTAATATATAAGACCAAATAAATCACGTGTCCTAAAAAATCAAAATAAGCAACATAATTCTCATTTATTGAGAACAATAGTTGGTATAAAAAGGAATGCTATATATTTTCAGCAACAATAACAAGGGTAGAACTTCATGATTTCTTTGGTGTTAGCGGTTTTGGGTCAAGGGCGGAGACGCTATTTAACTAGTGAAGTAAAAACTGGAATTCAAAGTTGCTTGTTCCTTCACATTGACCTATAACAATTACTCTGTAGATGTTATCTCATCTAATTTGCATTCTTATTCCATAAAATTCTCAACAAGTTTGAATAAGAATACTCAAAATAATTTGAGGTGGATTGTAAAAACTCAACAATCATGTATCTCTTGGGTCAAACAAAGATCAAATCCAATGGATTAGCTAGCTAATTCCAAGATGGTATAAGCAGATCTTCCTATCTTTAGTATTCTAAAGTGGGGCTCAAGTAGACAAGTAAACCCTTCTTAATATTAACTCTCAGTTATATACGGAGTAAAACTTTTTGGTACCTATCTATGGTTTGCCATTTAACCCATTTTACTATGTTTAATACAATATGATCATCAGGTTAAACTGAACGTTCTTACCAATCCTCTTGATTTTTGAACTCCAAAAGACATTCATTATTCGTGTACCAATACATGCATGTAAAGCAAAAATTTACAGCCTCCTTATAATGTCGTCAACATGTAGAATAGTACTCCCTCCCGTCCGGAAAGAACTTCCCAAGTGGACTTTTTACGGTTTTTAAAGAGAGATTATATAAGGTAAAAGTTTACCAAATTACCCTTAATGAAAGATAGTGAACTATTGGGTGAGGTATAAGATATAAAGTGAGGGTAGTTGCGGCATTTCAAATTTTAAAAAATGTAATGGGAAGATCTTTTCCGGACAAAGGCATTTGAAAAGATCTTTCAGGGACAAAGGGGGTATAAGCCTATAAAATATTTATAAAAAACTACCGTGGACGTTTTCTGAAACGAGAACAAGACCACTAGGCTGATGAGACTTGAAAGCAGCAGGTTCACCAGCAACTTCAACTTGGTCATTACCCTTTGAGTAATATAGAATGGAAAATAGAAGAAATGATATCAAGAAATTCAGTAAGGATATCCAAATATCTTGTACGAAGTATAAAATGCGTTACATGCTATGTGATCGCATAACATTATAACCAGCTCAATGTCCATATATGAAACAAATACGGAGTAATAGAAATAGTTCAAAATATTTTTGTTGACACTTGACAGATTACCTGTGCTTCCTGTATACTTAATCCTGGTGAATCTAATATCACATTTACAGACTCTCCCACAACTTGTCCGGTCTCTAAAGCCAAGCACAAAATGAGCATTTTGTTTAACATTACATGCAAAAAAAATAGTGAAAATGATGAAAAAATCAAGGAGATGACCTAAAATGTAAAAACCCACCAGATAAGCCAATATCAGTGGCCAGTGCAGGTGTCGAGCTTTTAGATAAATAAGATAAAGAACCAGGGGCATGTGCTCTGTCCCCCAAAGTAGTCCTATCACCAATCAAAGTTTTTCTCTTCATTCTCTGTTCTGACAATAATGGAAGGTCGCTTTTTTTGGATGAGAGGGAGTGTAGCATGTCATCTGTAGCTTTTGAACGTACTCTTCTTATCTCCTCATATATATTCCATGATCCAGATGCAAGAGCATTCTTTCTCTATGATTAACATGATAAAGTTTAACAGGACCAAAATGAAAAAGGAGGTCAGTCACAACAGGATGTGTGTGTGTTGTGCAAAATGAAAAAGAAGGTCAGTCACAACAGGGTGTGTGTGTGTGTGTGTTGTGCAAAAGTTGGTTGAGATGATAAGTGCATCTCATATGAAAACTAATCTCGGTCATTGATTTGAAAAAAGAGAATGATGAGATCAGCTTATAAAGCCAAAATGTGGTAATGTGAAGAACTATAATGCTATGTTTGGTAAGTGGAATTTGGAAGGAAAGGAAAAGAAAGAGGTATCTCTCCTTTTCCTCATCAAAATGAAGGGAAGCTGTTTTCCTATTCTTAGTTTATTTTCTCCTCTCATTTTTGCATCTTTCCACTTTTCTTTTCCTCTAAACAAGCAAGAAAAATGGTTTTCCATATCATTTTCTTTTAATTTATGATACAACGATGCACTTTGTATCATTAACCATTTATCTTTAGGGCATGCTTGGTGAGCAAAAACAGTTGGAATGGAAGGAGTTTTGAATTCTAGAAGAGATGAAATGAGTTTTGACGTCTGGAACAGGTTGTTTGGTGAAAATTTGGAATGTAATCAAATGAAACCGACAGTGGTGGTCCAGAAACAACATTGGCCGACGATGTAGGGGATATTAAAACACCTGGACTGATATCTCTCAATTTTTGGGAATATCAAAACACCTTTTGAGGAGGTTCATATATCTCCACCTCTTTTACAGTTCAACAACCACTTGCAAAAAGAACTTGGTATGTGGGATATCATAACCTATACATGTTCTGCTCATCAAACATGGCCTAAAGTTCCACATCTAAAGGACTTTGCCACTGTTGTTTAGATGAAATTGATCTAATCCATCCACCTTATATCATATAATATATACCCCAAATATAAGTCCTGGTTTGACTTTTCATGGAGTTTAAGAAAATTGTTGAAAAGTGAAAAATGTGTGAATAGGATTTGTTTAGAGGAGAAATGTTGTAAGCCACTTATATGTTAATGTTTATAATTGAAGTTTATTAGAGAATATACACTAAAAGTTTACAACTAGGCAAAATCCTCAAAATGTAATGGTGTAAATGTTAATGAATGTAAAAAGGAGCTTTATGTGCGGCAAATATGGCAATCCAAACTCAAAAGGATTTTTTATAGATGTGATAATGCACAACAATCATGAATAAGAAAGCTTCTATAACAATAATAAAGCAGCTATTTGGATACCCTTGATGAGGACATAGAATCATCACTGCCGGGGAAAGAAGTCCCCTCACTGAGGAGCTTTGACATCATTGATGGAGTTCTTGTGTGATATTCATCATGAGGAGACGCCCATGGAGGACGAGTTTTCATATAAGATTTTGCTACATACATTGGAGAGCCATCTTCCTTTTCCATCTGGAATATAGTTTTAAAACATTTACATACAGGCCTTTACAGATAGTCAGATACAATCATCAGAATTAGAATGTTACATTGTACGTTCTGTATTAATTTATACTCCGTATTACTTAAGTGCTTCAAGAAGTATAACATACAGGAATTGCCCCCCACAAATTAAGCTACAGACAAGAGGAAACTAATTCAGTAAGGGAAAGCAAATAAAAGATCTAGACTTCGCAATGTGATTCAGTGTTATAGGAAAGCTCCGAGTTTTATTTAACATCACGTTTCAAGCAGACTGGACCGGCAGCATGCCATATGAGAAAGTCATTGCAGCAACAAAAAAAGCATAGTAGAAGAAAAGCACAAACACAGATACATATTATCACTTGCTTTTTGAATGGCTTCAGGGTTTAGTGCCAAGTCCATTTGTGTGAAGCTAAATCTTCAACTAAACCCCACTTACTCTCACTGACCTTAAGTTCCTTGAAAACAAAATATACAACCCAGTTAAAAATCACTTGCAAGATGCAGTTCTTGATAACGGATAATCAGACACTGTTACACAAAAGGTCCCTTAGATTCTGACCTTGACACAACTCTGCCATTTCATTCGTATTGGTTGATATCTGTGTCCCAACCAGTGTTGCTCTGACTCACAACAGTTTGTCATAGCTCTTTTCATAATCTCACTGTTCACACCCGTGTTGCATATACCGCCAACACTACCCATTGAGTGAGGCTGTTTCCAAGAGACCCCCCGGCTCAAGTAACACAGAGAGCACAAGAACACAAAACACACAGAGCAGGGAAAACACCGAGCATAAAAAAGCAAAGAACTAAATAACAGAGAAAAGGCACAACAAGCATAAAGCACCATGCATATAAAGCACACAACCACAAGTGCAAAAACTACCATCAAGCCTTAAACGCCTATCCAACTACCCTAATCCTAGCTCTCCAAATGCTCCTATCTAAGTTCATACCCTCAGTAAGTGTTAGAAGTCCTAGGTCCTGCCTAATTACCTCCTTCCAATTCTTCCTAGGTCTACCCCTTCTACTCCCTCCCACCATCGTAAGCCTCTCACATCTTCGGGGCCACAGCACTTCACAGCCTCACATGCGCAAACCACCTCAACCTAGCTTCAAGCAGCTTAACCTCCACAGGTGCCACTCCTACCCGTCCTCAGATAACCTTGTTCCAAATCCTATCTAACCTCTTCTTTCCACTCATCCACCACAACATCCATTATTTCATCAATGTGTTCCAAAAAAACATGCTTCTAAGCATATTTAAGATATTTAATACAAAGTATAATTTACGAAACAAATTGAAACATTTGAAAAAAGCTCCACCAAAGAAAGAAGGAATTAAGGAAATGATAAAGAACAACAAACCTAAGATGACTAAAAGGGGAAAAATATGTAAGCTCATATCACATAGAATATTAGATAAACTAACGTTTTTTATGTGATGGATTCCTCTATCTTTAATCATGCATTTTATAAATGTTTCTATTAAATATGGGGGGTTGAATTATTAAACCAGATATTCTCCCATGAAGTTTAGCAGCTTCAAACTTTTTACCTAAAAAGGTAATTTGTGTGTACGGACAGTGTAAACAAAACAGGAGTAACACTTTTGTCTAAATAGTGCAAAATGAAAATATCTTGGAATATGGCTGTCTTATTGAATTTAAGAGGATTGACAATGATACCGATTATTGTTCCATGTAATTAAAAACTTGAGGCAATGTTATATTGAGACAATTCAAAGCATGAAAGATTTATTGTGTGTGTGTGTGTGAGAGAGATAGGAAGAGAGAGAGAGAGAGAGAGAGAGAGAGAGAGTGAGTGAGAGTGATTAAGTGCTTACATTTTCAGTTACAAAAGATCTTGGACTACAATCTCGGTCAACAATTAATGGAACTAAATGCAATTCATCTTTCTTGTTTTTTACCCATTCCCTAGCTTCAGTAATAGCTTTACTGCAAGGATCAAAGGTACCTGCCACTGTAATATAGTATATTTGATAAGAACTGATCAACATTTACAAATTGAGTTGTTACAAATACAGTAACATGGAAGTGGCACCATTACCAGAGCTTCCATAAGGTACTCCATGTTGAAGGCCATAATCAAGCATTGGTGAATCCACAGCTCTTGAGTTTATCAAAGTTATAAACTTATCACACTCTGCCCTGGTAAATGTGATAACATCAAGTGCATCAGGTAGAGGTGTAAAGTGTAAACCCATTCTATCCATCATAAATGATGCTAGTGGAAAACCAACAAATGGCTAATAAAAAAAGAAAGAATACATCCATGGGCGCTGGAAAATGATTATTTATGCCACATAATCTCAATCTCAATACATATATGCAGAAAAGTTAAAGAATTAAAAGCTAAGATTAAAAACATTGAAAATGCAGCAGATAATTAAAAAAGAATATAAACATGTTATTCTCTGGCGCAGTTGCGCTTGTGCTTGTAGAGTTTTATTTACTCTTGTGCTTCACGATATTTACTTAGCTATACTTTCATGCGAGTGTCATCTATTGAAATAGTTACTTATCAACAAATAATACTCGTAACATTATTATATTGTCATTAGTGACTGCTCAAGGCCATCTTAAATTACAATCTTTTATAATTTTTAGATTATACTTCCTCAGCCCCAAATTAATTTCCCACTTTGACTTCATGAGATTAAGAAACGTATCAAAAAGATGTTCAAAAGTCTCTTGGAAACAGCCTCTCTACTATCCAAGTAGTGGTAAGGTCTGCGTACACACAATACACACCCTCCCCAGACCCTACTTGAGTGGGATTTTACTGGGTTGTTGTTGTTGTATATAAAAGATGTTGAAAAAGTTAAAAATGAGTGGTTAGAATTTGTTTAGAAAGTAATTTGGGCTACATATTTTTGTCCACAAAGGGAAAGAGAAAAGGCGAGAATTATTATAGGAGGGATGAAAAAGGAAAATGGGAAAACTTTTGTTCGAAGGATGGATCGGAGTATAATCTCTAATGGTATGGCATATATTTAATAGAAATGGATTTCTCTATCCCACAATCTACATTATGCAATCCTGCCTGATCCACAACAATTACCTGAAAAATATCAACTTTCAAGAACCTGCTGATTTTTTGTTTTGACTCCATTGGATAACTACCCATCTTTGCACATCAACACTACTCAGCAAAACTACTGCTGAATAATGTTTCCATTGGGAAAAATTTATGAGTTTACGAGGAGATTAGGAGAAGCTGAAGTGGATTGAAACTCAGTTTCTTTTTTTAGAACTGCAATTTTGGATACTTTCCTAAGAATATACGTAGAATCTCCTATTGATTCTCACTTTACCCTAAGACGAAATCTTTTTACCACCCCTTTACAGCCACAAATGGCCTAGAAAGATTGCACATCTTTCAGATTAGCCAAGCCTACACGTGGCCCACTTTTTTCTAAGAAATCCACATGACTTAAATTCATGAGCTAAACTATAATGTTCAGATTTCCAAATACCCTACAATGTAATTCTAATTTTGACACCGTAAAAATAATTGGAAAACGGTGCATGCTTATTAATTTCAAAGGTAGTTTCTGACTTAAAAGAAAATTGTGTATGATAAAACCCAGCATTTTAGCAACATTCAATAAAACCAACTTTCAGAGATTGGGCTAAAGTTGATCACTGAGATCTCATCACTTTAAATTACATTATTACATTAGTGAATTAAAGAATACAATATATTTTAGATTGCTCTTTCTTCGTCAACAGGCTATAATATCACATATTAAACCAATAAAAGAAAGAAATGAGAGATTTTGGGAAGTGTTTGACAAACTTGAACAGCCCATTTCAACCATCAACAGAATATAAAAAAGACAAGCTTTGCACATGCAGAGGGGAGGGGAGGGGAGAGGCAGCAGCATACTACCTCGAAAAAGTTTCCCTCATAAGTAGCTTCTCAATTAAACATTTGCTCTTACTCATTCCTTGACAGTGTTCAGCATCTGTTGCAGCACATTCTGTCTTTTTTGATGAAGTCCAAATATTATTTAAAAGATTTTTACATAGTCAATAATAATAAAAATAATAATAATAATGTTATGGAAACATGCATTATGAAATAGAAATAAAGTTCTTATAGAGAATATTACAAAAAGTGCATCAATTTTCAATATAAAATGTTCTCTGTTCATATTTAAAGGTGGATCAGAGAGCAAAATTTTTCTGCTAGACTACTACTATTTTGAGTAAATGCTATGGTCGCACACTCCCTCTGTTTTTTTAAGGTGTCTAGTTGACTTTTTGATACATTGGAAAATGAATGAATGTGGACATAATTTATGTCCACATTCATGCATTTATCAATGTGTCAAAAAAGTCCTCCAACAGTTAAAAAGAAGACGGCAGGAGTACATAACTTCTAGCAGTCATTAACTTATAAAATACTAAAGCACTAGATATCCTCCAAATTAATTTTAAAAGAGTTGCGGTTTGTTTGCAGACCAAGAAAAGTGAATGCAGTTTAGGGATCTGACTTTGGAATTTGGCGTTCGCACAACTGGACTGTGACAAACAATAAGGTGTGGTGTTTGACTGGGTTGAACGTGTGCAGCTGTGCTAAATGCTCTGATACCAACATGAATAACAGATCAGTAACGCAAAGTATTGGCCAAAAAATACTTTTTAGGTCTTGCGTACAAATTAGGAAATTAATAACGGATTGTCAATAACCAATCCCTTCACTTAAGTCATCGCCTAGTCAGCGACTAGTGGTCCCGGCATTTTGGAGAGCGCAACTTAAGTGTTGCCTAAGGAGATTAGCCGTCCTGTCGTTCAAAGCGACGCCTAGTCACCGACTAGTCGATGTTTGAAACTCTGGCCACTTTTATCCAACCAAACCCTACCCAAATTTCATTAAATCTTAAAAGGTAAAATGCATCGCTCATTCGCTCCAGCACATCGCGACTCAACTCTGGGAATGATATTTCATCATATGTATGTATGTATGTATGTATGTATGTATGTATGTATGTATACACACACACACATATATATACATATATATATGTACATGTATATATATACACACACACACACACATATATATAATGTTTATATATAGTTACCTTGGGTGAATGAAGAAGATATATATAATGTTAAAAATTTCATTACTAATTGTGATTAGTCCACTAGTCTCTTCCTCACCGACTCGACTCGACTTGTGACCCTGATAACCATGTGTCCATGATCAATATAAACCACTAGGCTACGAAGCAATAAATAAACTCCTAATACTCATAAGGTTCCTAACATGAATTATGGAATTCATCCTAATCTCAATTTAGGAACACTCTTAAGAGTTAAGAGTTCAAATGATTCCCTTCAAAAAATAAAATGATAAATACTCTGTCGGCAACTTCAATACAGATCATCTACAAAGTTCTCAGTAAACTTGTCCGAAATTCTGATTCTTGAAACAAATCATTAGTTGCTTTTATTTGTTGCAATTTGCAAATGATATTTAGGTTGGAACTTGAATTGTGAATACAACACCTGTCAAGATACTCATTATATATGTTTGTAAAATGGTGGCATATTCAGTACTACGTACTATATATATCCCCCTTCTAGACAAACAGCCATGTTTATCATGTGATTGAGCAGTCCATGTGAATTGTGAAAGATGTGTGACTGGGAACAGGTGTGTGGGGGAAGGGGATAATCAGTTCCACTTAATTCCATGTAGGGCAAGTTCTTCCTAACTACTTGTGATTAAGGTGGTGGCATTAAGGGTTCTAATATTATTTGGCAAAAGATGAAAAAAATTGAACCAACAAGAGGTTCAAATCCATGTGAAATAAGTTGTTAATGTTTATAATCAAGAAGAGTTCCTAATGCATCCAAGCTAAACTGCTTCAAATTACCTCTTCTAGTAATTGGTTGTCATGGTCATCGTTGATGTCATCCTCTGCAAGTGAGTTCGAGTGTCAATTAGTTAAAGGCGTAAAGCACAAAGCAGACCACACTGCACTCTGGGAGTTGGGTATAAACACGAAATGGAGGATAATGCCGATACCAGTGATTACATTTGTCTATCATATTTATAAGTTAAGATTAATTAAGCTAATGGACAACAATAAACAAGAAATACGGAGTAATGGAGAAGATGATGCACCGTCTATACTATTGCTGTCAGGAGATGAAGACGAATCAGAAGCTGAGGAAGAAGAAGAGGAAGAGGAAGAGTCAAATACGGATGACAGCAACTTAGCTGCACCGGAGACAATCGTACGGGTGGCGGGAAACACGACGCCGGTGAGCCAATTGGGGCTTTCCGGAGCTAGTGGCGGAGGTGGCCGGTCGTACGGGGTGGATTTTGAGAATCTCCAGCGCCTTCTGTTGACTATTTTTCCGCCGGATCGCGCGCCGCCATAAGCATCCGTCGACATCGGGGAATAGTCGGCGAGTTTGCGGTCAGGCTTTCAGCCGTTGCTCCATCGGTGTGGTGATGAATTGCGATTTGCTAAATTGGGTATGGTTGGAGAGATTGGAGCTAAAGAGAATTAAAAGATTAAAAATATATTAAAATAGGACTTTCATGTTTTTATTCTCGAAATATGACTTACATTACCAAACATGGTCATATACATTACCAAAAAAGTATAGTAATGTGCACATGTATACTGCCACATTACCACAATGCAAAGTCACATTACCACAGTGCAAAGTCCTATTTCGGGAAAAAAACATGAAAGCCCTATTTTGGTACTTTTCTTTATGTTTTAGTCCTATTTAGGGAGATTTTTAAAAAATTATACGGAGTGCTATCTTAAAGCATCTCCAATGTATAAAAATTGGTAGTGTAAATTACATTTTACACTATCAACATTATTTTACACTTCTACTTTTTAATACCTACTCCAACCATGTTTTGTATAATACTCCATACTTTACATTTATTCGTGTCCCTATCTACAACCAACTTGTATATATACACTTTGCCAATTGTATTTTACCCTATATTGTATTTTATCATTTGTTTTACCCTCTTCCTTGGAGTGTCAAAAGGTTAAACACAAAGTGTAAATTGTGTAAATTTTAGCATATAGCCTCTACACTGGAGATACTCTCACGACGTAGAGTATATAGAGCGGGCTGCGCTGGAATCCTCCTATTTACAACAGCATTTTACTAAAAAATTATCCCGCCTAAAATTTTGGGCCGATTACTGTAGCATTGGGCCGATCTTTTTTTTAAAGTAAATCAACATTATGGGCCTGCGTTATTTTTTGTTGGAATATCCTTAATATTTTGAGTTTAAAAATTCAATAGTATTCCGTTTCAAACATTAAAAACAACATACCAAACATTCACATCTCAAATATCAGGATACTTTTCATGTTTTTAAAACTACTATTATTAAAATGCATTATCTTAAATTTAAATCCAAAAAATTTAAGAAAATTATCAACCATAATATTTAACGAGCTTTTTTTAATTATTACAAAAACTAAGTAAATGATATTCAAAAAACATTTTAAAAATGTTTTAGTAATTATATTCTGGGGAGTTTTCATTAAAAAAGCAAAAAAAAGATAAAGAACACCCTACTCTGTGTTGCCAAAAAAATAGGAAACTGAAATTATATTTTTTATACAACATAAACAATAAAAAATAAAAACAATTAAAAAAACTGCTTGTACGTGTAGTTTCACACCCCTCCACTACTTTCCAAAAAATTTGGACAGCAAATGGGTATGGTTGTAGAGAATGGAGCGAAGGAAACAGGCTCTTCACGTTCGGTCTAGTTATTTTCAATTCGGGTCTAGAGTATATAGAGCCCGTTGCACTGGAATCCTCATATCGATACTTTATTTACAAAGATTATGACAATTATAAATGACAATTCTGAAGTAAAAATGGTAAGTGGTCGTAATTATAGTAATAATTAATATAATTATTATATTTATAATTATTAAAGAAAGGTAAGTTTAAATGTCCGAAAAGTAAGTTAATAATTGTGAATTTATATTGGTAAGTGGCCAAAATTCTAAAATTATAATTATTATATTTAAAATAATTAACGTATTGAAAATTGGAAATAATTAAAAAAGGTAAATTATAAAATTGCAAAGCGTAAGTTTTTAGTAAAAATGGAATCCACGTATTATATGCTAAGAATAAGTAACTGTCATTTTTAATCTTTTTTGTGTTAGTGTGAAATTAATACTGCTATTATTTTTATATTTATTAACATGGGTAATATAATTACAAATGACAATTGTGAAATTAAAATGGTAAGTGGCTAAAACTATAGTAATAACTATTATAATTATTATATTTATAATAATTAAAGAAAGGTAAGTTAAAATGGATGAAGGGTAAGTTAATAATTGTGAATTTATGATGGTAAGTGGCTGAAATTGTAAAGTTATAATTATTATATTTATAATAATTAACGTATTGAAAATTGGAAATAATTAAAAAAGGTAAGTCATAAGATTGTAAGTAATACAATTATACACCCATTTTTGCAAAAAAAATTGGAAATAATTAAAAAAGATAAGTTATACAATTATACATCCAATTTTGCAAAAAACATAATTGGAAATAATTAAACAAGATAAGTTATAACTATTAACGTGAGTAATATTAATTGGAAATAATTGAAAAAGGTAAGTTAAACAATTATACGCCCAATTTCACAAAAAAGTAATCATGGTAAGAATAATTATACACCATTTTCGTAAAAACTTAACCCTTCTTATTATAATAGTCTATAATGTGGTCTATAAAGAAGTCTTTCGAAATTTGTAAAGTAGTGATGCTTTTTACCTTAAAATAATATAATCTCCATATTCTATTGCATATCATTTTTATCATTGAAAAATAATTTTAATTTAATAATATAAAAATGGCTCATGTAAAGCACGGGTGTGATACTAGTTTACAACAGCATTTTACTGAAAAATTATCCCGCCTAAAATTTTGGGCCGGTTACTGTACCATTGGGCCGATCTTTTTTTTAAAGTAAATCAACATTATGGGCCTGCGTTATTTTTTGTTGGAATATCCTTAATATTTTGAGTTTAAGAATTCAATAGTATTCCGTTTCAAACATTAAAAACAACATACCAAATATTCACATCTCAAACATCAGGATATTTTTCATGTTTTTAAGACTACTATTATTAAAATCCATTATCTTAAATTTAAATCCAAAAAATTTAAGCAAATTATCAACCATAATATTCGACGAGCTTTTTTTAATTATTACAAAAACTAAGTAAATGATATTCAAAAAACATTTTAAAAATGTTTTAGTAATTATATTCTGGGAGTTTTCATTAAAAAAAGCAAAAAAAAAAGATAAAGAACACCCCACTCTGTGTTGCCAAAAAAATAGGAAACTGAAATTATTTATACAACATAAACAATAAAAAAATAAAAACAATTAAAAAAACTGCTTGTACGTGTGGTTTCACACCCCTCCACTTTCCCAAAAATCTGGACAGCAACCTCCCACTTCCACACGGTACTATAAAAGTTGGCCACTTCCGTATAGTTTCACATAACATTATCACCATAAATTCCCACCCTGCAGAGGAAGAAAACAAAAATGTCAGATGCCTCAAGTGGAAGGGGTGGCATCTGGTCATATTTGAAAGAATTGGATAACAGCAAACAAGATTGGGCGATTTGCGTGAGAGCTGTTAGAATTTACGACAATCCTACCCGTTCTGGAAAAGAAAACACCATGGAAATTATTTTCCATGATTCAGAAGTATTTGTATGCTGCATATATTCACTGAAAATTTTGTATAGGGTTATGCTTAAAAGTTTAACCATGTTAATTTCTAATATGCAGGGAACCAGGATTCAGACCCAATTTAAGAGAGCACAACTCGATTACTTCAAACCGAAAATCAAAGAGGGAAAAGCTTATGCACTCAAAAATTTTATCGTTCACAAGAACACCCAACCCTTCAAAACCATAGACCACCCATATATTTTGTGTTTTTTAAAGGCACAATCTCGAAAGATATCAGTGCATATCGATTCCCAAGCTTTATGTCCAAGTTGTGCCCTTTTGAAAAATTATTAGAACCCCTATCTAAAAGCATGCTTACTGGTAAGAGTAATTCAAATTTTTTTATTCATGTCCTATTTATTATACCAATTCAAACACCTATTTGATTTGAATTATAGATGTGATTAGAAAAGTTATTGGAAGAACAAACATCCAAATTCGTATGGTTCAAGGGAGTCCCCAAAGAACTTTAGAGCTGACTTTGGAAGATGGAAAGTAATGCTTATTTATAAATTAAAAAATCATTTCCTTTTCAATATTATATTACTAAACACAGGATATTTCATTTCATTGAGGACAAAAGCTTCGGTGCACACTGTGGGAGGACTACATTGACAAGTTTAACAAATCTGTGGGAGACGGAATAACAAATCCTATTCTACTGCTGAAGTTCTGCCGTGCAAAAGAATTCCTTAGTATGAGTTTTAACGCATTCTTTTTCCGTAGCCTAATTATTTGTTTTCTATTCATTTGGTTTCAAATCTTTTGTTTACTATTTTTTGTTTTTAAAAATTTTTTTACGTGCAGAAGAATTCAAATAATGACATCCTTCCACGTGACTCAACTTATACTAGACAATGAATCGGAAGAGGCAAAGGAATTTCTCAAAACATTTAAGACTGAGGTTGATGAGTGCAGATCCTCAAGCACCTTTACTCTCACACAAAGCACACAGAATAGTGACGGGACAGAAGATACCGGTACAAACCTAAAGATTACAAGCATAAACAACCTGCTTACTGAAACTGAGATTGGATAAACTACTCGAAATAATATTTCTTCCCTACTATTACTTGAATTATGTTTTAACTGATTTTGATGAATAAGATGGTTACTTCTGGATAATGACTGACATAGTCACCATTGAGAACTACAATGGCTGGTTCTATTTGGGTTGCAAAAACAAAAACTACAGTCGAAAGGTAGAACAAGACGGTGATGTTTTTCGGTGTCTTAAATGCCAAAAGACTATGTCCTTCGGGGAGTACAAGTATGATTATTAATTAAATATAATTTCTTCATAATATTATTTCAAAAATTGTAATCATGCTTCACGGTTATTTAAAAAATTTGTTTAATGCTTAATGACAAATATATTGAGGAACTAAGTTTTCTGTCCCTTTTATGACTAGGTACAAAGTTGCAGTGACTATGAAAGACTCCTCACGCACTGCAACATTTGTTCTTTGGGACAAAGAGTGCAAGGATATGATGGGAATGTCTGCTTCAAAAATGAGAGAGATTATGATCAAGGTTTGCTGTTAATTGAAATTTCTCAAAAAAAAAGATTATATTGTTAATAAATATTACACTATTGATAACGTCAATTTTTTTTATTATTTCTTAAAGCGAACCGGGGAAGACCGCGAGTTTCCGAAAGAACTCGAGCAAGAAGTACTTTCAAAGACCAGGTTGTTTAAAATGTTTTGAGAAACGCCTCACTCTACGTTAATAAGTACCAAGGACCCAGGAGCTTTGGTGTGTTCACAATGGTTACAGACCCGAAAATGATTGCCAAGTATAAACCCCCGCAGTTGTTAAAGATGAGATGGATGGAATGGTTTTGAATTTTCAGATCTCAACACAGAACAT